AACTACATTATTTGCACGTGAAAAAATTAATTGACATGGTTTCGAATTCTAATAGTTAGCTAAGTGACATTTTGATTGTTAGGAAAAATATAATAAAACCCAGTTGAATTTGTGGGACCTTTCAAAATTCCAATAATATTGTATATCACCATCGTATTACGTTATGTCACAGTGGCACGTGTTACAGTTCCGTTATGCAGAAAATGTGTTATGTAATTCCGTATGTAGATTATATAATGTTGTACGGTGACAAATTAACATCAATACATAATAAGTGCACGGTTGAAACGAATAATTTTTCTTTTATATTTTAATGTTTCATTATTATTACTGCAGAGCGCAGACTACTATCAATATTTTATAGTTCGTCACGGTAGCCGAATAATTCACGATGAACAATATGGCCCAAACAATGTTAACGGAAAAATATGGACTACAATATTTTTGTGTTTGCTGATATTTTTGAAATGCAACACAGTTGTTGTTTGGAGTGCTCAACAGTGATCGTTCGCAGAATGCTTAATGTAATAAATACGAAAAGCAACGATTTGATCATCACGGTTGAATTACTGTTTTAATGAGCTACGTGGCATTGTATTACGTTGCCGAAATGGTTTACGCGCGGGTCAAATGTATAGAATTTCTGTACGCGTTAAAAAGTGCAAGCGGTTTTGCTAGGAATAATCAATAGTTATTATATTTTAAACAAACTCGCAATACACTTTTGTTTATTGTTGTTATTTCCAGTCGTCCGTACGTGTGTCCATGAGTGCATATGCCGACGTGAATACACACTGTTACCGAACAATAACCGTACCTGTACGACAATATATATATATATATATATATACGCACTAAACAGATACTTAAACCCGTACAGAAATCGTCTACGTTTCCGGGAGCGAATAACGTGCGTCCGCACGATGCGTACAGACAGTATTTTATTTCCGAGGAAGATTCTGCAGACGATCGAAAGGCATAAAAAGCAGCCGTCAAGTCGCGTAAAACGGCAGGCATAAAAGCAACAGAAGAGTCGCACGTAATACGCGTGACGGTGAAAGATAAAAAATAAGTAGAAACATTACTGAGCGATGAGGTCGTTAAAATTATTTCCAAAGATTGCGACATTTTTCGGCGACTATATCGACATCGCAATATGCACACAGTGGCCACCTGGCTATGGCCCTACCTTTTTTGTTGGTGTTTTAAACGTCTGATTTTTTTTTTCTCTTTAAGAAACGGTTTTATCACTATTGCGCAACACCGTTCTTACGATTTTCGCTTAAGAACGATCAAAATTGAATATTAATTGATAATTACAATGCTATTTTTATATGCTTATTTTAACATATCAAAGCTACGACATCCCTGCGGTTTGTAGCCTCCATCGCAACTCGGAATTTCTGTTGTGCACACTCGTTTTAAAATAATTTATCAATTACGATGAAAAATTTGAGCCGAAAGAAGACGTTTTTTTCCGATCGTTGGTGAGAGAGTTCAATATTTTTCCGAGACTTTTGGAACAAAAAAAAAAAAAATCCTCGTACTCGAGACCATTTATGATCGACATCATATTGTACGAGTAAACGTGAAACGAACGATAAAGACGCATTCCGAACCTTGAATGTATTATTCGTACAACACGGCGCAGTACCTACGTGGACTCCATGTCGGTTTTTTCGGCACGCAGATTTTGAAAGGGAAACTCTTCCGATAATCTGTAAATAGTATGTGTGTGTTACCGAAACGGACCATACAACCGAAAATATGTGATCGGTTTACAAAGTTTATTTACACTCGTGTATTTTATTATGACGCAGTGATAAGTTACACATTCATATATACACATAATATTAGGTGTGTTTTGTATACAATATTATACGATGTTACGTGCGCATCGAAATAAACACATGGATCGCGAAACGCTCGGTAAGCCGATTACGCATGCTTTAGCGAAGAAAATAATCGATCAAAACTTAACGCTGTAACACATCACGTCGCGTGGAAAATATTTGAAGAAAACTGTCGTTGAAATTTCACGATTCGATCGTTTCTTCGCGGTAATAGAGATTCTCATCGAAAACACATCCTTCGACCAGCAACTAACGTTGACAAAATGACAATCAGACAACTACCGTTAAAGTTTCGACGCGAAGACATTCTCCATCGTGAAAGGAGTGGATGTAAGTTATCGTTTTGCGAAACTCACGATTGCGTCTCAAGACAACCTTCTTTAAACATTTCTTGTAAGAACCACGATGGAACTATTATTGTTCAGCCACTTAGCGTCTTAGATCGAAAAAAAAACAAAGGTTATTTTTATAGATAGCTCATATACATATACACTGAAATTCATTTAATTTATCACTGCTATTAAGTAATAATTATTTAACTATTATATTATGTAAGAGAATAAAATTTAATCAATTATATGGAAATACTTTAAAATTTACCTAATTCAATAGTTTAGTGTAATTTATGCAACCATTTCAGTGTTAACATTCTTGAGTTATTTAAGCCAGTTACCTGTATGTATTTATGGTTCTTTAGTTATAATTTTATCGTACAAGTTTTATTATTGTGACATTTATCATCGCGCACCGAGATCTGTTTTTCAATTTTTGAACAATATATTTTTGATTCCTTTATTAACAAATGTCATTATATTCTCTATAGCTTAGTCAACAGTTATTTTTGAAAGTCCAATATTTTAATTTTGTTATTATTGTTTTACTTCTATTGCTTTAGACTTTAAATTGAATATTTTAGAAACTCAGAGTATTGTTTTGTTTTAGGTTTTGTCTATTTTATTATGAATTGTAAAATGTTTAGTAAAAATATTCTTCACTTAATTTACACGATATTGCTGAATTAGAATGTAAGTTGAGTCTATGTGAAAATATTGACAACTATTCACGGATTTCTTATTGAAATTATATCTTTATGCGATATTTCAGCTGATTATAGTTAAAATATTATCAAACTTTTTACTTTATTTTTTAAGTTGGTTAAAAACCTAATGTTATCTATTTTAAAGATTTAAAGGTTTCTCATCTAACGTTATCGATTTGGATGGTGAGATATAGCCAGACATTTATCTTGAATTCTTTATCAACTTTTGGCCCTTACGGTATCGTAACGTTACGTCATTGTCAATTTCTTCTTTTTTTGTTCCCTCCTCTCTATTTTTTAATAACATTTTATTTAAAATTTATTTTCTATTACTGTTTCTACCTACCTTAATATTTTATTCAGATCAAATGCAATATTAAATACGAGTACTACAAGTTTCAATGATAAAATATAAAATATTTTTATAATTCCAAAGTGCTTATAACGTAGCACTCAAAACTAATTGGATAGGTATCGAAAATTATTTTTCATAAAATGAAATATGGGTTTATATTGTATTATTGTAATATATATCTACTCTAATTAGTGTTATAAGTCGATGAGTAAATCCGTGAAAGTAAATGTACATGTTGATATTATTAAAAATTATTTATAATTGGCATTTAGTATAATACACAAATAAAAATATATTTTATATTTTACGCCACCCATTTATCTCAGTTTATCTCAATTCCTGTTCTCACATTGTCAATCTTTATAAATATTATTCTGTTTGAATTTTAGGTATGACAGATATGCTCAAGAAGGCCATTTTATTAATTAATGTACATTTTACAGATGATATTTTGGTAATTTTGAAATGTTTTTTATCTAAATCTAAAAAAGTTTAAAACAACTAAAAATGTAATATGGCTCGTTAGAAATGATTGAACACTTTTATACAAAATACTTTTATACTGTAAATAATGATGTATCGATAAATTTCCTGTATGAAGGATTGAGGTTAATAATTATCAATTATCATTAGATCTATTGTCCAATAATTGTAGATCTTATTATTAATGATTTTCTGGAATACTAGAATTTCTGTCAAATAATTAACGCTGTGAGAACGCTACAAATACATAAACATTTAAACCCTAATATATGTGCCTCTGGTTTATCTGGTTATTTATTGTAATAAATCTTAAGATATGAAATATATAAAATAAATAATTATAAACAGTTCAGGGTAGTCGATGCTAATATACTGTATAATATTGTAATCAATAGTTAAATTAGTTCTTTGGACCAACTTAGTAAAACTTCTTGATATTTGTACCATATTTTATGTTATTACTCTGAAAAAACAAAATGACTGAACTATAGATTCTTGCGAGTTTGAAATCCAAAGTAATAATAATAATAATAATAATAATGCCAGTACTAGATGAGTAATTGTACAACGTCTAAAAATAAATTGATAATAATTTCCATTTATCAATAGCGAGAGGTTAGTGAATTGCGATACGAAACAGTCCGTGTACTATTACGTACAGTATAATTTATTTCGATTGATTTTAAAAACAATACCGGTATTAAATTATATTGACGTTTTGAGGATGTCAAGGGATGAAAATACAATTTTAATACGAGTGACTTCAGGCGCCCTCGGGCTATCGATGTATATATTGTCTCTTATACGAAACGGGAGCATAGCACCACGCGGTCGGCCAAATAGCGTGGGGTAAACGACAGTTTCGACTTAGGCGCACACGTTTTTATGATATATCATCTGCTAGCCTTCGGAACGGAGTTCACGGGTCGCCGAGGAGGAATAACGAGCCGTTACACTATCTGTTTCACGCGAGTCCGATGCTTTTCGTTTTTATTCCTTCGCCCGAACGCGCGCCTTTTGTCCCTGTGCCGTCGACGAATTTCGTCGACCACGGCGGCGGTAAGTAGGCGATCGCTTACTGACGAAGGAAATCGAGGAAATGACGAGGGAGGGGGGGGTGAGAAGCGAACCGGAGCTTTATTGGACGGGAAAAGTACCCGCACGCGATCACAAAATTATACAGTGTAACGTGTACTGGCGCGCGCATAATGGATGTGCACGTCACGTCAATAAACACACCGTAATGAAAACCCACTACGAAAAAGCTTACCTGGTGTTGTAACGCGAGTTCCGGCGGACTTCCGGCCTCGACGCATTGTACAGCAAACGGCATTGATTCGTCGACCCCGCGGCAACGGGGTAGAAAACGCGATCGTCGTACCGGTACAGCGGCCGTTTGCAACCGGGTTCCCAGCACTCGTACGGTTCGGCTGAAAACGGAAAAAACACAATGTTATACGGATCGGGGGTGCGCTTCCAAGCCCGAGGTCCGATCTCGATACCGCGTCTCGTTTGCTGTATACAGTCACTGTCTGTCGGGTTCCGATCGTCTAACTGGTTTCTAACTCGAATTGCCAATGGACTGTATATTCACGTCAAAGGTTCGCGCGGGGCAAAAAAACTTTATTTTTTTTTACTCATTTTAATATTAAATCTAAAATAAACGAATTAAATCGAAACGAAACGTATTTCTTTTTTTGATTATAATTAAGAAAAAAATTAACATTGTACTGCGTATTGATTTTTTTTTTTTTAATAATAATAATAGTTTATTTTTATTTTTGAGTTGCACTTGATACTTGACATCTCTTTTCAAAAAAAAAAAAAAAAATTAGAAATTTTTGAAGAAATAAATATTCAATGCAGGCCATATCGACCGTGCTTAACTGGTCTAACGCGTGCCGCTCGCTCGATTCGATACAATATCGTACCGTAAATTACGGTTAAATTACGGTCCGTAATACTAGGGGCTACTCATTTTAACACTACTGCTAATACCTATCATTACATACCGCCGCACGTACATACTAATAAACTATATACGTATATTATACGTAAATGCACGTTTAGAACGTGCCGAAAACGTCCGTTTTACCGTTATTATTGAGAATCGATCATTGCGTAACGATTGTACCACTCACTGTGGGATAGTACTCATTGGCGCGAACAGTGTTTAAGATGTTTAAGTGAGATGGAACTGGAAAATTGAACACAATGCATCTTACTAGATACGGTGAACCGGTGTAGTTATTAGTTTTGAAGGGAAGCTATAAACAACCCCTTCCCAGTTCGTCCTCTTATTTGTGCTTTTGGCAGTACTTGAGAATCTGTCTCCCTAAGCCCTCAATAATATACTGATTGGCATGGCAAATATTCTCTATAAACTTTTTTATATTAGTATGATTATTATTCGTATGGAAATTGTTGTCCTATAATTTTCGTTCATAATATATTCACCGCATGCGTATACGCAAATGGTACATAAAGGCGAAAAATACCGCGATGAAGTAGAACGGTGAGTTGCCAAGTTCGACAGATTGTTTCCTGTGTTTTCAAAATGAACATAGATACAACAGGCTGGAGAGGAAAATACCCCCTTTGTTTAGGCGTTTTTACGTCTATACTATACAGTCCCTTCGAAGTTTGCACCATCGCCGAGCCGCGACCGTGCTTTTCCTTTGTTACTATAATTATTGTAGTTTTTAAGTTTTAATATCTCAGATGTTCGCAACTTCTACTTATTTATCCACGAACCATCACCATTGGTCTACAAGTTTTTAATGATTGTAATTTAAAAGTCTGCTGCGTTATAATGATATTGCGAAGAAAAACAATTTTTAACTGTGCTTTTATACGTTATTAATATTCATAATTAAACGTTGTTGTCGAGACACCGATAACGACCGAATAAACGTATCGAAAACATGATTTCTCCATCGCGACAGCGGTTAAAAATCATGCAACCTTATCCACTAAACCTGGGATTCTAACTCGGGGCTTCCGTACGTTGTATGAATTTCGTCGGACCCGGAAAAGTCCGAGGAATTCTCATACACGGCGTTGGACTGAACCTCAATCGATGGACACGTTTTTGTGCTACCGCAGTTGTAATACTATATTCGTTCTTACCCGCATCAGGGGGTAGAAGGGCCATGGACGATTTCGGGGAACACTGGCAACAGTCGTACCGGGCCACTGATCGACTCCTGGTCCTGCCGCCCGCCTTGGTCTTTGGCGACGGACCCGGCACGTACACGAACTCGGACCTCGTGGATTCCGGCCCGGCCGCCGAGGACAGTGACACCACTTGGTCGGCCGAACAGTCCGTCGTGTCGCTCGAGTGTCTCCACGACACTTCACGCAGGTCCAGGTCCCACGGATCGACGTATTTGCGGTGCTGAAACCAGTTAATAGTCATCGTCACAACGGTAAAAGTACAATATTCAATTATCATCACATGTTCTGTATTTAGTTAAAATATATTTTGTGTTTAAATATACCTCTCGTATAAATAATTTGTGTTTTTTTTTAATGATTATTAACACACATCGAGTTAGCGATCGAGCATCAGTCTGCGAACCTCTTTCAAGTCGGGCACCAAATCTTTTGTAAATGTTACACGTATGTTTATAAATTAATAATCTATTTGTACACTTATGGTATTAAAACAATAGTTAAAAAAAAAAAAAAACGCTTATAAAATATCCGATCTTTGTGTTTGTACCAATATTTGTATTTGCATTTCATTGAAATGTAGCGTACGTGCCTAGATTCGCCGCCGATAGACAAGTATAAATGTAAATGCATGGTTCAGTTATAATGTATCTCGAAGGCATAATGGAGCTACGTGCACTTTTAGTTGTACGTTAATTTATGGCGGACTCAGATAACGATAGCAATTAGGTCTTCTCCCGTTGCACATTATAACGTTTGTAACCCTTTACGCGCCCCAGACCCTATTTGAAATTATGTACAAATAGTTCTAAGACCGCAAACGAATGGGCATATTTTTGCTACAGGTTTGAAAAACACACGTAAACATAGTCGCTGATTTCAATATGTGCGTACAACGCGAGTCTCGCTGTACGTCGGTACAAATTTCTGTTGGTGAGAAAACGTTAAGCAAATCGTGACTAAAAGAAAATCCGCCATCGCCACCACTGGAATAAAGACTGGATACGGTCTTCAAGAGCATATATACGGAAGTTTACACTTACAATTGACGAAGTAACGCGTGCACGAGATTGTATTTATACTGTCAGACTAAATATTCCGAACATCGTCTATTAAGACAATCTTCCTAACGGAAAAGAGTTTTAGTAATTTGATTTTTCTTCCACGCCTCCTGACGAACCTGAGATTTAGAATCAACAGATAATCTATATGTGATGAAAAATACACGCGCACCAATTTATATAAGACCTAAAGGAGTGCTTATTTTTTTTTTAAATTCCTATTATCGGTGTATTTGCTCGAAACGTTTACTTTTTCGTACATTTTTTAAGTGATTTCTTGAATCATCTTTTACATTTTTCTTTTCGGTGCTCTTTTGATGTTAAACTTTTATTCAAAAAATATTATTTTTTTCCCCTATTAATGATCATGCACTCTATTTTGAGTATGAGCGACGATCGTAAACGTTTTATCAATTTTTAAACACCGACATTATGTACGAAGAAGTCGTTATTTCATCCCCCTCCGGCTAATGGAAATAATAAAAAGATTAATTACTTTAATGAAAGTTTACACGGTATGTTATGTAGTTAAACATTTTTGGTAATGGTCTTTATTGACACAATTATCAAGTAACAAAAAGGTTAACGAGTCGGATAGTCATTGCCATAACACAATAAGGTACCGATATAGGTAAATAAACACAACGATCAGGTGTACCTTTATACAGCGAACGAACTTTTAAAGTCAGCTGTCGCCGGAACGAACGAACCAATGGTGTTGTTTCGAGCGGTTGAAATGAATTACTCGACCGGGGAGAGAAAAGCGCGAGCAATGGAGTTTTTAAAATCGTACCGGATGCGATTCTAGGCGATAACAAAATAAAATAATCCACCGGCGGTCTCCACGTTTTCTCGTCGTCCAAGCCCGATTCAGTTCAAGACACGAAAAACGGATTCATATCGCACCTGGTGCGGACAAACGAAACGAAATCGGTCGCCTAACGCGGCATCATTGGACTGTTAATTTTCGAAAAGCCGAAGCGCGTTTTCACACGTACGTCACGAAAAAACGCGCGTATTTTCTACCCACCCCCCCCCCCCCCCCCCACACACACACACACACCACACAACCGGCGGTCGGTTTGCGAACCACTGGGCCGCGTACGGAAACGAACGAGTTTGGCTTACCGTTGTACTGGAAGACGAATCGGACATGGCGAACGGTCACGAGAGATTGATATGCGTTCGCGACGTGTTGTTGTTTGGCACTGCGACTCGGACACGCGTCTCGACCGCGGCGGACCAGGAAACCGACGAGATAGTGCCGCGCGTACGCCGAGGCAACGTACCACGCGTTATACTTTCTTCTTTCGAAACCAGCTTCACGGGTGTTAACGTGACCAGCGTGAAAAATCGCCGTGGAGGGATAACGCGTACAATTGGAAATTGATGAAATTCCGTTTTGTTTATTCGATTATTTTATATTATTTTTTTTTTCCCCTCTTACGAAATCCGTAGAAATGTGTCTTACGCGAATTACCGCTACCGCGCGACCACGTCATACGGTCCGTACGATCGCGGTCATTGCGGCGGATGTCGTGCATTCCGCCGACTGCTGAAATCCTTTATCGCTCTTTTTTTTCTTTTTTTCTTTCTCCATACTCGCACTTGTTATTGTTTTGTGTGTGTGCGTGTAACGCTAACAAAAAAAAAAAAAATTCCTCACGCCACTGGCGAAACGTCATGATACACGTCTCGTGCGCACACATACGTGTCGGATGCTTATACGATTTGTGCACATAAAATGAATAATAATCAGGTTCCCCTCCCCCCCCACTCACTTGTGGTATTTTTAACGAACCGATCACCGTTAGTATTTAGGGAAACGGAGACGATTTCGAAGCAAAAGGAAAGAAAATAAAGAAGACTTTTACACTACGTTACGCTCTAAATGGACGTATTCATATTTGAATAATATCGCATATACGCGCTGTGTACAATATGCACCGTATACCACTATATATCATTGTTGGGATGTATAATACGCACAATATAATACATTTCCACACGCCTATCGGTGGCAAGCCGGCGTTCTACAAAAACGTTTTCCGCGTTCCGTACACACAATATTATACGTACTATTATTATTATTATTAAATGTTGTGTTTCGTCGAATTGATCAGTCGGAGATTTTATTTTTATTTTTCGAGAAAATCACGTAATTCATGTTTAATACCTCGAAAAAATATTTATTTTTTCTCCACACACACGGCGCATATCAATTGATTCCAGAGAGCATTACTTTTTTTTATTTATAATAAAATTTTATAAATGCCGCATTTTTATTTAAAGTATTATTATACTTTCTACGCATTGTTGTTCTTAACGGAGTATGTAAATGGTTAAATTATTATAAATATAAGTAGGTACTCGAACTGAAAGAATTCGTTTTAGTGGCGTAATTTATTTTTTTTCAATTTACCAGAGTCTTTTCAAATATTTGTGTTTTGCATCAAACTGCATATTGTTTTTTTAATCGTTATCGTTTATGTACATGTTATTTCGTTTTAGATCAAACGTATTATAACCTATAATTTCAATAAAATTAGCTGCGTATTTATAATTGAATGTGTATACACCTGGTTTTTTTCCCCATCCAATTGTATTTTGTGTACCATAAAAACATTAGTTACAATATAATTAAAACAATCATCAAATTATTTTTTTATCTTTTTATTTTTTAACCTATTTCCTACCTACCACCAATAACTTTTCGCTAGTGTTTTTCCATCACGAACGGTTTTATATCAGATAGCGTCAACGCCTCAATGAGATTCAGAAATAAATATATATTATCAAATTTTTATCTAAATTTTTTTATTCTCAATAAATAAACACATTTCAAACGCTTCAAATAAATACAGATTATTTTTAAAAATTGATGCTTTTTATTTAGATTATTTTATATTTTTTATAAAGATAATTTTAGTTGATTTTATTTTTATCTTTATCTAAATAGATTTTTGATTCACTATCTCTATTTTTATTTCGTTAAAAAAGTATTTATCTGAGCTCAATAACAGAAATTAGTAATAATTAAAAATTTCATATGTAATAGAATCAAAACTCTAATATTTAATACTTAAAATTAATAATAATTAAATCGAACAACAAATATATTTTTTTAAAAATATGTAGGCAGGCTTTAAAATGTCGAATTTTAACCGAGCATTTTATTATATAATACTTTATTCAATGTTTTAAAAACAGTCCGTTTTGAATTTCACTGAATTATTATTATTTTTTAAATAATTCAATAAATCTTGAGAGATTAATTATTTAGAAAAAAAAAAAAAAAAATAATTTTTCATTTGCAAACAATTTTAGAGGAAAGCTGTAACTAAAAAATGTTTAATCATAAAATGAATATTAAACTTTTCCGAATCAAAATTAAAAATGTACTATATTATAAAATAAAAAAATGAAATAAAAAACCAATTTTATAAGCTGGTTGTATTAAAGACTCTTTTAATTTGTTTTGACAATTTTTTTTAATAAAGGTTTCTTTTATTTAATTTTATAAACATATTATTTTAATTTGAACTGTTGGATAATGATTCTATACAATTTAAATAATTTCTATAGCTACTGCATTAATACTATTTTCTAATGTTTTTAATTATTTTTAATGAGCATTTTTATTGAATAAATTACATTTTCTCTCAATTATTAACTGCATAAATATATAAATCATAATAGTACGAATGCGAAGTTTAGTGAACTGTGACACAACGATTCCAATCACTATATTATAATTATACGTATTGTGTATTATTCACATCAATAGAGATTGCCGGGAAAGAAAATTCGTGAATCATTTCTGAGTTTGAAAAAATCTATATCAATCAAAAGAGTTTTGAGTTCCATTAAATATCTACCGTTTTTCGTGCATGAATACCATTGAGGTTAATGGAGTGTACGTAAAAAGACTCAGTCCCCTGGACTTTAAGCGCCAAAAAGTGCCACTTTTAACAAAATATGTTCAAGACTAGCTTTAGCTTTTCGATTTTACATCAAATGCTCAAAATGGTCCAAAGTTCACAATTATCCATGCGTATGTGTGCAGGATAAGCTTTGATGCATTGGAATACAACATTTGTCATATTCACACACATCATAGATATATTATTTTAATATTTAAAAAAAAATTAAAATATTTGATGAATGTTCAATATCCATTGGTTTTACGTTTTTAAATATTTAGTTAAGTATTATACATTTATACAGTTTTAAATATTTGTGTTCGAATTTTTATAAATTTTTATTACATATTTTAGGTTCAACATAAAAAATCAAATATATATATTAAATATTGTAAAACGTTTTTATTTTAAATAATTCAATTCCATTCGTATATAAATATAATTTCGATCTTTATGATTGACAAATGCTGTATGAGTTATTTATGAGGTAGTCAATTTAAAATAATCGATTCAAAACGTATATAATAATTTGCCTAGTAAATACATACATCATTTTCTTGCATTATTGAAAAGCGCATCAATTTAAATTTGCTTGCATTATCACATCTGTGTTTGATGTTTAAAATCGTGTATTAATATACATTTTTTTTTTTAAATCTACGTTAAACGAAAAACTTATTCCTCTATTTCGATGATATTTGTATCATTAACATGTATTTGTATAATACCTAATATAATAATAATTTTCATGTTAATTTCATATATTTGGTTTTCATGTTTAAAATCTACTGATGTGTTTCACATAGTAAATTAATCCACTGAAAATAGTTCATTTATTTCGTTCGCAAAAAAAAAAAAAAATCACTTTTTTTTTGGATTAAGTCATGAAACAGAGAAATATTGTAGATGTTAAATAAAAACACAGAAATGAAAACGAAAAAAAAAATTATTTTCAGTATAAGAACAAGGTTTACAATAGTTTCTATGAAACAAAATAGTTAATCATATGCATTAAAATTTTATCAAATTTCTGTCTTATTATATTGTAATAATATACCATCACGGAAATATAATCACTGGTTTCATATAGTTGCATTTTTTAATATCATTCTATTTATTACTTATGGATAGATGTTGTATATAATATTACGCGTAATATTATCGTAGGCTTAAACCCGATCGAAATTGAACATACTTGTATTATACGAGTATATTCCTGCACATTTATGATATTCTGTGATTGATAACAATAATACTAATTATAATAATAATAATATATAAGATGTATTCCTTAAATTATATTGTAATATAATCAATTTCACTTCATTTCACATGGATAAATACGCACACGTAAATATATATATATATATATATATGGTTCCTTCCGGAAAGTGCAAACTGGAGATAATATTAACAAATTTTCAATTATTATTATCAGAATCTATCATTATTCTTTAAACACCACATGCACATGTATACTATACATGTGTCGCCGAAAGGTTTCACATCCTATATAAATTTATATATTCGTATATATATATATATATATATATATATATATATATATATATACGAATAGAGTTTCATAAATTATTGTTAGGCAGAATAATACAACGAGCCTGTAAATTTTCTCCGGCTGGGTTCTTTGCCATACAATGACTTATAAAAAGTGTGTTTTCCGTAAAATAATTCGCTAACTCGTATGTATTCGAGTGAGCCATCGCACGGTTTTCATAAATCCATGAATATTTAATGACCGGGCTAATAGGTTCCACACCGTACATTCGGGTTTCTGCGACAAAATACACAACGGTATAATTTTCGAATAATATTGTTCACATATACCTGTAAACAATTTCGGTTCCCTGTTACTTTTCCGTAAAAAAAAAAAAAAAAAATAGTAATAATAATAATATAGAGAGGATGACACTGAGAGCTTGCATCCAAATTCGTTGGTTTGTCTGCCGTGTTAATAATTGGCCGATGTGGACATGCGTACAAACATTCTGCGGCTATTCTTTGTTACGGTAAAATGGAGAAACATTAAAACACACAAATACACTAGCATTTTTTATTTAGAGGTCGAAATAACACGTTCATTGATTAGTTCGAGATGTCTAAAACAATAATCACACTGCGGGTTAGAAATTCGTTAAAAAATATTAATTAATTTATTCGCTAAAATAATTTCGAGCATATTTTATAATAGCTGTAAGCGGTTTATCCAAGGTAAGGACTGAGGAGGCGTATAAGCGTATAAGCGCGTATGAATATATAATATACATAAATTATAAATACACTTGATTGTACGCGTAATACTGTTAATCTTGTCTATGCTATTTTAGATTAGTTATTCGTTTAATTTAAAATTATTAAATTTTCTTAACGAGAAATATAAAATCAATAAATTATTTTGA